CAGCATAGAATGCTAGCAGAAAAATCCGTTCAAGCATCATTTTCAGATCAAATTAAACAATGCCTTTTGGAAATTCTCTTAGTTATACTACTTGAAACTATATGCTGGCATTTGGTTTGTTTTTATGGCAAAAAATTGACCTTATATGCATCTTTAAAGGATAATTTATATTTAATTTAATTAACAAAATGAAAGACGTTTAAAATATTTCATAAACCACTTCTTGTTATACTAATCTGTGGACAATCAATATTTTTTTTATCAAATTTGGTATATGCCGTGAATTAATGTTGCTAAAGATAATCAAATTGACTACCTTCTGACTAACCTCATAACCTGTCAACCACACACACTGCATGTATATATTATAATTCAAAAGTCACTGCAAGAATTGAGCTTGAAGGGCTTGCAGAATTTGAAATATTGCCCCGGAAGCATAGTTTTTGGGGACTTTTTTAGTATTCTAATAATGTTACAAAGTTATGACGAGTGTCAAAAAAGGAGAATGGAAGGTTGGTTAGTTAAAGCAAAATAATGACCCCCCAGGAAAATTTCATCAAGTATGACTTTTACAAAGGAAAATCTCACACTATTCATCTTTACAACAGGTGCAAATATACTGGTAGATTAAATGACAAAGGCAAATATATCACTAATAAAAATGATTTAGTAGCACATCATGTAATCTTAAATACATTGCTACTGATTTTGAGGCTTGCTTGAAATAATCTAACTTTATCAATGTCAGTTTGACATGAAAATTTACATAATTAATTGTTTCTATTCACATGTAGTGTGTATGTTTATATATTTATATATTTAGATATATCCCATTGTCAATACAATTATCAGGGGTTTGATATGATATATTAATAAAGGTATCAAATTGTTGCAAGACTAATCTGTGTATTGTGCAATATATACATCAATCTTACTAGCAACATACAGGTAAGTGTGGCACTGCATCTCAGAATTAACATTGATAATTAAAAGTAACTACTTGAAATTTTCAAAAATCTCACTCGTTCCAGTATTTTACATTTTCAAGTTACTCCCAATAACGTTATGCCAACTCAATTTTTGGAATTTCTGAATCTACATTTTATATATTTCTTAATTTTCTAACAGACTTTAACTTTGGAGAATATTGTTAATTTGCTTGAATTGGGTTAGTAGTTATCATATGCACTGGGCATTGCTTGATTGTTTTACGTATATGAGCACTCTTATCTTTTTTGTCTTGTTTTGTTTTCAGAATTATTTATGACCAGATAGTCTGAACAAGAACTCAGGTTAAGATACTGCCAGTAAAATCCTGTATTGCATTTTCAAGAGGAAAAATCATTAAAAGATCAAAGATGACAGGAAGACAAGAAATCTTCACATATATCCCAGTCTAGTGAACCAATATTAGCACTTTAAGAGGACCTTATCTAGTCTGATTTGCTCAAAGTAAAAAAAAAAGGAACTGTAAATTGTGATCATCATGTCTGCCGCAGCACCCCCTGGTGTCCATGTACCTGCAAAACGCACCATTCCCCTAGGGCGGCGGTTGGCTTACAGTGTGGGCCATGTCCTCAATGATTTGTGTGCCGCCATGTGGTTCACATACCTCCTGGTGTATTTTCATGGAGTGGTAAAATTTAACAACATCATGGCTGGCAATCTTATGCTGGTAGGCCAGATAAGTGATGGGATATGCACCCCCTTGGTCGGATACGAATCTGACAGGACAAATGGATTTTGTGGTTATGGGAAGAGGAAAAGCTGGCACCTGCTCGGTAAGTTTAATTGAAATTTGGAAGAAATTTTGTTGTCTGTGATATTTCAGTATCAGTATATATAAGTTTGTTTGCAAGAATAATGAGATTGTGCAAATGTTAATTTTGATCGCACTGATTATCAAAGTGATATTTTTCTTCCATCAGGAAATAAACTTTTGGTAGAATGACATCAGTTTTCCTCATGATTTATTACTTATTTTGCTTTATTTTAATGATATCTACTTTTTTCCAGGAGTCCTTTGTGTTGCCTGCACATTCCCCTTTCTCTTCATATCACCATGTGCCTTTGGGTGTGAAAATTCTGCTGACTGGGCCAAGTTTATTTATTATGTACCATTTGTTGTGATATTTCAATTTGGTTGGGCTGCCACTCAGATTTCTCATCTGTCTCTCATCCCAGAATTGACCAATGATGAGGGACAGAGAGTAGAGCTCAATGCTATAAGGTATGTTCTGTGAAATCTATAATATTTTTGTTTTTTTTTATTAATGAACTGTTTTGGGTGGATTTTACAGGGACTGCAGTTAACTAAAACATTGTTACCTCTGCCAGTGGAGGAGGCTATTTGTGTCTATTTTTCAGTTGACGAGATATATTTAAGTTTTTCACAAATTTTGATGAAATTTTAAAGATAGTGGAAGAAGTGATTGCAATTTTAATTTGGAAGGAATAAGGGTCTTTCAACTTTTTTGTTAAGAGATGTTAATTAAGACTGAGACAAAATGTTCAGTCTTAATTAAGAGATGTTAATTAAGACTGAACATTTTGTCTCCCCTGTGGGAGTTAGTTTGAAATTCATGTTCTATCAAATTTAATTTAATCAAGTGGCCCTTATGAAAATTTTTGCAAGTGATTTTTATGTTTCTTTATAAGTTTTCAAAAAATATTTACACAAGTAGATTGTGATAATGTGTGTTTAAATATATATTGTATGATATATATATATATATGTTTATGTAAATCTGTGCCATTTTCAGATATGCCTTCACTGTTATGAGCACTATAGCAATCTACTTGATAGCCTGGTTGCTGCTGAGACACTCTGGTGGGAATGACTTGACTCCTAAAGATGCTGATAGCTTCATGGTACATTATATCTTGAATATGTCACCACTTAGCTTGTAATCATCCTTCAGCCTTTATTTCAAAATTAAACACACTTTGTGGTTGTTAATCACTATATGACATGTATATCAGTGAAGTATTTTACACTAATGATTGTTTGAAATGATTTAATGCAAGGTGTGAAAATTAGTCTGATAGTGAGCCATTGTTATCTTTAGGTGGTTATTCAAAAAAGGTTAAATTTGTTATTTAAATGGCAGTGGCTAATTGTGGTTGCAAGAATTCATTTCTGTGCCATTGGATGATTATTTTTTACCACTGGCACAGAAGGAAGCAAAATAGAGGAAGAGGCATCAGTTACAAAATCATTTGCTTATAGTAAATAAATTAATTAAAAGCTATCAACTAGGTGAAATGCCATTTCGCATCTTCTTTAAATTGCCAGCCAGCCTATATAATGTATATGCATATGTATATATTTATCTGTGTATATTTTTTTCAACAGGAAATGGGCCTCATAGCTGTTGGCATTGGTTTTGTCTTTTGCATGATATTCCATATTGGAACCAAAGAAGTGAAAAAAACTGAAATTATAAGGCAATCAAGGAAAACAGTAAACGTCACTAAAGAGGATTATGATGAAACAAAATCCCTGTTGAGCACACTGGAAAAGTCGGCAGATAGAAAGCTATATATGAAGTGGAATGATTGGTTTAAAGAACATCAGTTTTATATGGTAATATTTCAAAATTTTATTGAAATAATGTGTGTGGCTAAGTTTTGATATTCATTCATTTTAATGGTAATATCTCAGAACTGTCATTTCTAATTTTTTTGAAAATTGGGCTCAATCCAAAAGTTTTCTAAGTTGAAATAAGATTAAGTTTTGTTTCTTTTTATTTTTCCATTTTATATATTGTAATTTTCATATTTAAACTTGCATATTAGTTTATGTAAACCAAAGCCTGGTGTATTTCTGATGCCATCATTACTCACTACATACACTAGATTTGCAGTTTATATAATGTTCACATTCATTTCTGTAGTTAATTATCATAATGTCATATTACACCAAGGCAGTGCAATTGAAGTTTGAACAAGGTGTCCACGTTTTTCTTTTATTATCAATTTTCAGATTGGTGCTCTGTATATGTGTACCCGTTTAGTTGTGAATCTCACTCAGGTATACATCCCAATGTATTTGACTGACACTTTATACTTAGACAAGGTGAGCATTCATAGGTCACCCGATTAAACCCCCCTTTACATTGGACGGCGTCCATTCTGCATCCTTTGCACGACCTTGAAACTGGCATCGCTGTGGTGGTAGAAAGGAGGCACAAGCATCACTTAGGTTGCAGAATGAATGCTCAATGATTGGCCGGTTGTAGACATGGAAATTTTTTTTTTACTCTCAAACGGGGCCGTACTACGGGACGCAGAGATGGCGCCATTCAGTGTAAAGGAGGCTTAAATGTGCAGTCCTTCGTCACTTGACACTTTTGTTAGAAATGTTTATTGATTAGGTAGATGCAAATGTTATATAATATGAGTAGCAATGAGCTCTTCATGAGTATAAAATGGTATGTCATGAAGATATTCTACAGGCCCTGTAAAATGTTACCTTTTGAGATTTTGCCCAGCATGTAATACTATGTCATTGTCAGTTTCATTATTTTTAGCAATTCATTGCCATAGTTCCACTGATTATGTATGTGTCTGGTTTCCTGACCTCTGTGCTTATGAGACTGATCAACAAACTGATAGGAAAAAAGGTCAGTACAGGGTGCTTCCTGGGAAAACCTGAAGTATTGTTCTTGTGCGTAACATGGCTGAAAATAGATTCATACCTGAGCTTTTCAACAGAATTAATTATTCACTCACTCGTATAAATTTATTCATTCATCTCAAGCATACTAGCTTCTGTATAAAAGCAGTCTGAATCAGATTCTTAATATCTTGTTAATTATTAAGCTCATATATTTGATCATGTTACTTAAGGGTACAATTTAAGCAGAATTCCCTTTCCACTATCCTGTGAGATGTTAAAGACCTGGTCATGGTAGGTGAGATGAGATCATTTCAGGATTTAATAGAACAAGAAAAGCTAAGCATAAATTGTAAAGCTGGCTGATATCATTTATGTAAGATATCAGGATTTTATAACACCTCTGCCTTTTTGATTTTTTTATTGTACCACCAGCGTTAGCGCTGGCGGTACACATGGTTTTAGTCCCGTCCGGTCCGTTCCGCCGGCTCCGCCGGCTCCTGCGGCTCCGCCGGCTCCT